AGTGGGAACACGATGTGCTGTAAATGCTGAATGTGAAAATACCACATATAATAATATTTTTTTTTTACACTAAACTCACTTCATAACTTCAGCCGAGCGTTTAAAATAAATCCTTCTGTGATATGACTCCGTAATTGTGTGCTTATTAGTCACGTTGAACCAATAAAAGCAGTCATTCTTCTGCTTGTAATGGAATGCTTTTAGGATTTCCTTTTTTTTTATAGTGGGTGTATTGAGTTTCCACATAAGAGCGCCACCTGGGGTTTAATATAAAGATGTTTTAATTATTACTTTGATTTGTTAATGTTGCGTTTTTGTTCATTCATTAATTTTCTTTTCGGCTCAGTCCATTTATTAATCTGGGGTTGCCACGGCAGAATCGAGCCACGCAGCAGATGCCCTTCCAGCGGCAACCCATCTCGGGAAACATCCATGCACACTCATTCACACATACACTACGGACAAATTAGCTTATCCAATTCACCTATACCACATGTCATTGGACTGTGGGGGAAACCAGAGCACCTGGAGGAAACCCATGCGAACATGGAGAGAACATGCAAACTCCACACAGAAATGCCAACTGACCCAGCTGAGGCTCGAACCAGCGACCTTCTTGCTGTGAAGCGAACGTGCTACCCACTGCCTGCATTTTTGTTCAGTGTCTGTTCAAATAATTATTTTATTTTTATTACAAAGAGCTTTCCAAAATAGTTAGTTTCTTTGGTTTGTTATCTGCCAACTGTTTGATTAGAGTTACTAAAAACTGTAACGAAATATCTAAAAACTTAATACAAATGTGTTTACAGAAAAACTGAGCTAAATCTAACAAAACCATTAATGATTGAATGTTTAAAAATATAGAAATTAAATTCATTTAAAAATGCTAAACTACTCTATAATAACCTTGCTGCTAAGCCGACATTTTGTTTGAACTAAACCGGTGCAGATAACAAATCATGCCAACTAAACCCCCAGCATGCTGTGCAGCACAGGTGGTGTCAGTGTGACCCTGAGTGCTTGCGAAATGGCATAACTCTGACTGCAGTACACAAGCCAATATTAACAAACACATTTAGAGCTGTACCTTCTGTGTTAACAAGGCCTTTCAGGAAGAAACAGGAAGCTTTTGATTAAATTCGCATCTGCGCAGGAAATTGTGTGCTGGTGCTGGGTCAAAGTGTTTGAGCTGACTTTGTTTACCTGCCATTGTTTCAAAGTGGAGATTTAGATCAATTGCGGAGCAGTTCTTAGACGCATGTTTGTGGGACTCTTTAGGTCTCTACTTTTGATCCTGCAGACATAATAAAATTATTAGGTTTATTTTTTCGAAACAAAAACATTTATTTCTCTTCTCTTTGACCTTCAAAAACACAAAGACTTTTAAAGAGCGGTGGGAATTGCTGCAAAAGTTTGAGATTTATTCTGATTAGTTTTTTGTCCGTAATAACTTTGAGAATTAGCTAGACTCTGACTCTTGACTAGACTCTTGGGGTCTGTATGCATAGTATTTACGGGTATCTGTGAGGTATTTTATAAGTAGTCTCGTTAATTACATATACACTGCTTTCCTTGGTAAAATACACTAGTCAGCATTTGAAATGCTGTCTACTTTACAGTTATTACATGATCACAAATGATCAACCTTCCACCCCATTCACATAGGGCGTAAACGTCAATGCTTGACGGAGGACATGTCTGAAGTTAGGGCTGATGCGATCGTCATAGCATCATCAGCCAATGAAATTAGACTACAATTGGCTACTGTCTGAGCTGGGGTATTTGCATAAAGCGATCTGATTGGCTGACGCTCCTGTTGGTGCTTAAAAAGTTGAGAAATTCCCAACTTCCCAGTGAGCCACGATCCAGTTCAGCAGTGCTTGACACCATCCTTTCAAAATGAATAGGAAGCGTTGACGATGACGTCCCGTGTGTGAATCAGACGTTATATTATCACAGGCCTCACTTTATTCGTCTCCATGTATTGATTCTAGGGTTGGTGTTATTTAAATTATCGCCACTTGACAAATCATACATCTCTGGTTTTCACTGTACAGCTTTTATCAGCTCTTTATAATATGAGCAGGGTTCGTACGTGATGGAAAACCTGGACCTGAAGTCAAGGAATTTTAACACTGCTTTAAAGGCCTGGAAAAAAGAAAAGGTTTTGGAAAATTCGTGGAAACATCATTTACATTTAGTCATTTAGCAGATGTTTTTGTCCAAAGCGACTTAAGCTGTGGTCACACTAGAGCTTGTGCTTGCAAAATTCTGTCGTACATCGCTGCGAAAAGAGGCAGGGTTAAACAATATGATTAGACATCAATAAAAGTAAGGGATTGCTTCGTATTTTAAATGCTCTTCTATTGGTCTCACGCAGTCACCTGATGTGTTTTCGCAGGTAAGAATTCACCAAGATTGAACTTTTGAATGCAGTGAAATGCGAAACTTGCGAAACATGCAGTGAAATGCGCACATCCTTGGGTTTTGGTCTGCTGCATTCGCATGCCTATGAATGGAAGTCTATGGAGTGAAAAGTGCAGTGTGATCGTAGCTTAATAATAGAAGTAGTTTAACCTAATCTCAATAGTTTGTTAAACTAGTAATATTATCTGAAATTAGTGTTACAAATATCTGAATACAGAATGGAGGTTAGTTGTTTTAACTTTTCTTTTCTTGGTCAAAAACAGGCTCTCACATTATTAGTGCTGTGTAAGCATCATCTATTTTACATGGATTTAAAAGTACATTGAAACTATTGTGTGTTTTATGATATGCTGTAAAAAATATAAATGTTTCTTATGATTTACCACATATATGTAGACATTACATGAAACATTAGGTTATGAAAATTGACTTGAAAAACCTGAAAAAGTCATGAATTTTTGTTGTAAAAATTGTTGTAGAAACACGGACCAATTTTTGATGCCTAGTTACTTTTCACTCACCTTATTTAAGTGATGTAGTTTCAAACATTGCATTTCTTCCTTTAAATGGAAAAAAAAGTTCAGAAAGCTTGTGATTTTGGGTATTAATCTGAAGTTCCTAAGGTTTATCATGTAAGATTTATGCAAAATAAACATTAAAGTTTGTGTCTTGAATTAAGGAATAATTGATGATGGTTCATTATTGGAGTTATTTGAAACATAATGCACAGAGATGATGAGGCTGTTACTTGAGTGTGCGTTATTGTCTAATAATCCAGCACACCGGAGTCCATTATTCTGCTTAAAATATGGTTACCACACCTAAAGACACTGTTCAGATTTGATGTCGTGATGTTGTGGTTCTAGACATTTGTCTGTTTTTTGCTCCTGTGTGCAGTTTCTTACACATCTAATCTAAATCCTTTATTTTGTCTTAATCTGATTTTTAAAAGTTGTAGCTGTGAAATGACTCCAATCATGTGTAGTGTAGTGTAGTGATATTGAATTGTAATGTTGTTAAAACCTGCCTGGAGCTACTTTAGCTGTCAGATAATAATTGCACATCTTAGAATGCTCATCAGCCAATCAAAAAAAAGCAACAACAAAAAAATCATTTGTAAAATTCTAGTGTTTAGTTTAATGTGCTATTTAATTAGATTAACAAACAGAGGTTTGTTCTGTAGCCAATTGAGAAAAAAAAATCCTAAGGGGGCTAGTTATTACTTTTTTATTATGGTGGATGAAGCCAACATACTGTTATACAATACCACAAACTTATTCATCTTCTTCTTCGACTATTTTAAAAACTCATCTCCTTCTAGACCATTCATACTACAACCACCAAACTCACTCAAAACCTCCAAACTATACTCCATTAAGTTGCTATGTCTTTTCCAACTGATCTGACATACGGTTTTTTTAAATTGACCCGAAAATATTCTGTAAAGTCCCATTGACTTAACATTGGACCAAATTTTGTGACCTCATAACTTTGCACCAGACTGTCATACAGACTTAAGGTTAGGCTCATTTAACTCAGATTACCAATCTGCCAATCACTGATGTTCTATTAACTTACTAGCCACACCCTAGCAACCACTTACGGCACCCTAGCAACTGTCCCATAGACTTCCATTGTAAAAAAAAAAATCTGCCATTGACTTTACATTTGACATACTAACAACATACCAGTCCATACTAACATGCTAATCATACTAACAACATGCTAATTCAAACTAAATTCATGCTAACAACATGCTAGTTTATACAACAAACATGCTAACAACATGCTAATTCACACTAAGAGTGCTTTCACACTAACACTATTGGTCTGCACCCGGGTTCGCTTGACGTCAGAGTACGGTGCGTTTAGCTACTGTGAACGTGTCTTCTCAACTCGGGTGCGCAACCACATAAAACAACCTAGCAATGCTTTAGCGACTACTCGGAACACCCTGGCAACCAACTACCAACACCTCAGCAACCCTCTAGCAACACCTCAACAACTACCTGGAACACCCTAGCACCACTCAGAACATCTTAGCTACTGCCTAGCAACAACTAAGAACACCCTAACAACTGCCTAAGCAATACCCACTTAAAACACCCTAGCAACCACTCAGAACCCCCTATTAACAGCCTAGCAGAAACATGCCAATGCATACTAGAAACATGCTAACATATATTGAGTTATAACTGTTTCAAATGTCTCCAAAATGACTTCAATTATTAAAATGTTTATACTACTTCAACCTTTCACTCTAGGCTTTCTTAAGACACCATGAAGTTTGTCTACAAACTTTACTTTTCTAGGTATTATTAGTTTATTCCAAAACAAGCTGACGTAAATAAGACTTCATACTAGAGAAAGGAAATACTGTGGGGAAAGAGCTTATAAATGAACAAATATTAAATAAAGTGCTAATACTTTTGTCTATATAACCGTATATCCACCTAAATATTGCAATATAACTTTTGTCCAATATCGCTCATCCCTATTAACTACAAGCAAAGTTTTGAGCACCAGTAAAATATTAAGATTCACACGCTCTCTCTGTCTCTCTCTTCCTCCAGGACACCATCAACAATGTGAAATCTCGACTGGGAAAGAGTCTTCAGATCCAGACACTTCTGAGAGCATTTGAAGCCCGAGATCGCAACCTTCAGGAGAGCAACTACGAGCGGGTCAACCTGTGGTCCTGCACTAACGTCCTAGTCATGGTGATCGTATCCGGAGTCCAGGTTTACTTGCTCCGCAGCCTCTTTGAGGACAAGACGAAAACACGCACGTAACCAACTCTATAGCTACTGACTGAAAAACACACAGACACACACATCTAACTCTCTCTCTCTTTCTATATCCTATAAAATTCAGGTCCGTTTTGACCCCTCAAAGTGTCCTTGGACTGATACTGATTATAGCTGGAGTTTCTCATCCTGCAGTCTCTGTTATCTCTTTTGAAGACAATCATTTTTCTACTCGACTAAGCCGATGATATGAGAGATTGAGTCTCTAAACTGCTGCTATGTGGCCGATATAACTAGGAAATATATATATATTTTAGTTTTAATGATGTATCAGACTAACAGAGAACTAGTTTTGCATTGTTTTTGTTTGGAATGACATCATGTTTTAGAACTAGTTACTGAAATCTTCCAGGCACTGATATGGAGACACGTTTCATATTTTTGCGTCTGTGTTTATGATTATAGGATTGACTGTTTTGTACGTTAACCACCCCAGTGCCAATTCTCTCTCTCTCTCTCTCTCTCTCTCTCTCTCTCTCTCTGCTTTAGCCATCTGTTACTGATGATTATATGAGTTTAGACACGCCCAGTTGTAACAGATGCTGTGACCTCCCTTCTTTATAACGGTTTTTAATGGTTAACGACAATTGTTTTTTTGTTCAGGGCTATTAATTTATTTCTAAATGCATTAAAGATGTTCTGCTCGCTGTCATTTGTGTTTTATTTTTATTTTTGTCAAAAATGAAAAGGTGCTGCAACTGTAATCGTGAAAACAGCCTCATGAAATTCTGTGAAATAAATAAATGTATACAATTATTAAATAGTTTGGCATATTAGTTTATTATCAGGGAAGGCGCATCTTACTACTATTTTTTTCTGAAGCCCTTTGAAATGTACATGAGAAAATTATCAAATCTGGCACTTTTTTTTAAACTCTAATATACTTTGGGGTCTCTTGGGCTGATTTTATAGTGTCACCACAGAGTTAAATATCAATTTTTTAAAACATTTAAACGTTTTGAAACCCTTTTTTTTTTTAAAAAGGACATTCGGTTTACCTGATTACTCTCAAATGACATAAAAAATCTGCCCAATTATTAGTATTCAATGATTGTACGTGTGTGTGTGTGTTTGTGTTTGTTTGTGTTTGTTTTTGTTTGTTTTTGTTTGCTGCTTCGAAATTTGTGTGAGAACTTGCTTAGAAGATTTTGCATATGGATTTTGATATTCAGGATCTCTGCATCATTACTCTCTGATCACTTTGCATCATTAGTGAACTGAAACCACATATGATGTGCTTCATCAGAGCAGTGTCTAAAAATGAAATGTATATACAGTTGAAATTAGAATTATTAGCCCTGTTTACCCGCCCCCCCTCTTCCCCAAATCTGTTCAACAGAGAGCAATTTTTTTTCAACACATTTCTAAACATAATAGTTTTAATAACTCATTTCTAATAACTGATTTATTTTATTTTTGCCATGATGACAGTAATTATTAAAAAATAATATTACTATTGTAAAGCCAATCCTTATAAGTAAACTCCCCCAGACTCTTTTGCCCCCCTTCCCTCATACACCCCCACACTCTCCTCATAACTTACACTCCCCATAAACACTAACCCCCGGTTTCACAAACAAGGTTTGAAGCTAGTCAAGATTAAATTGCATGTTTGAGCTGTCTCAACTCAAAATAACTGGTGGAGAGATGTCTTAAAATATGTCAGTGTCATTTTTTTTTGTCTTCACGTGCACACTAGTAATATTTTTTCTAAGGCCATTTTTTAAAATGTGTCTTAAATAGCCTAATTTAACTAAGGCCTAGTCCTGGCTTAACCTAAGCCCTGTTTGTGAAACTGGGCCGAAATTATTTAAAATCTGCACAACTAAAATGGCACATCTTCATCGCACTGTTGCACTATTTCTACTTAAACTGCACATGTAATTGTTCATATCTGTCTGCATACCTCTAATTATGAATAGCAACCTGCACATATATTCATCTATTGTAAATCTCTGTTCATAGCTAATACAACCTGTATATAATGTTGATAGTACATCCATCTGTAAATATCACCATAGTTTTTTTAGAACTGCACTTTGTAACTTATACCTGTATCCTGCACTTGCTGCTATTGCACTGCTGGTTAGACCTAAACTGCATTTCGTTGCCTTGTACTTGCACATGTGTAATGACAATACAGTTAAATCTAATCTAATAATATTCATCAACTATACAGCTATATTTTTAGCTAAAAAACACTTAAATATACATTATGCAGCCCAACATCTGCAGTATTTTGTCAAACTGCAGTGAGTTTAGTCCTCTGCTTGGCGCACTCACTGAAGAGGCTGGACAAGTGCTGATACTAGGAGAATATTGCAGTTATCAACTAATCCAGAACCAGAAAAAACAGTTATGTGTATATATAATAAAATATCTTTATATTTACTTAGGCATAAAATTGTAGGTCATTTACTAATTGTATTTATACTAGTTGTATTATTTATTTATTATTTTATTTTAAATAATTTAATCAATTGATGGAACTTCTAGCAAGTCGCTGACCCTGTCCTAGTATTCACACTTAAACTGTGCTCACTTTAAAGATCTTTTCTTAGAAGCCTCAGGCAGAGCCAGGCTGAATGTGAATCTATAAATGAACGTCTGAGCGTGGCTCTATAAATCACGGCAGGCTTCAGGACTGCTAACAGCGGCAGCAGCTCAATCCCTCATCCTTCACTGACAGCAGCCTGGCCTTCATTAACACTCGCTCACAGGCTGACTCTTCTGACTGTCATTAGTAATGTTTTCATCCAAAGATGTGAATTAAACTTGCATACAAAACTGGGACTATTACATAAAACATTTGCGAATAAAGCACCGTTTCCATCCAGTGAGTAAACTGGCGCCAAATATCAAACAGAGAAATGAAAATTGGTTACCCACTCTATTCTACTCAATGTGCTGTTTAATGTACAATTTAATTATCAACTTGTTGTTGTAATATATACAGTTGAAGTCAGAATAATTAGCACCCTGGAATTATTAGCCCCCCTGTTTATTTTTGTCCCCAATTTCTGTGTAATGGAGAGAAATGTTTTTCAGCACATTTCTAAACATAACAGTTTTAATAACTCATTTCTTATAACTGTTTTATTTTATGTTTGCCATGATGACAGTAATATATATATATATATATATATATATGTGTGTGTGTGTGTGTGTGTGTGTGTATATATATATGTTTTTTGTGTCTTGTAGGTTAGCATGGGATGATATTTTTTTTAAATTTATATCACGGTTTGAAAAAGTCAAGGTTTTAAAACTGATAAAATTTTCTGCCATCCTACGGTATTAGTCTGAGCCGATAAACAATATTATATTGAATCACAATCAAATTTATGTCTGTAACAATGATAAGCAATGCACTTTTAACTCTATAATAATCTAGGAGCCAATCACACAGCAGAAAAGTGCCACAATGGGAATCTAAAAGTGTGTGATATTAGAGATGGACCGAATCTTTGGCCACTGAAAATTTTTTGGCCGAAAATATGTTATGCTGTTTAATCGGATCCTCTAATTTTTGTGACTTCAGTCCTTGTTGGGATACTCTTTTAAAATCTTAAAGCATTAACAACTTAAAAATATATTGTTATCGTTCAATATGGAAAATGATTTTCGAGATGACATTTTTGCCATATCGCTCAGCTCTACAAAGGTATGTGTAAGATTTTTTATTTGCATTTTTTTTTTGTTTGTTTTGTTTTTAGGACAACAGTATCTCCATCTCTCATACATAGATGCTGTTTTTAATTGTGAAGAAGTCTGTTGTTGAAACTAATGAAGACAGCAAAAGTCAATGATTGACTTGAATTATTCAGCCCGTCATGTTTACTGCTCCAAAATATTGTAAATGTTTCTCAAATGAAAATATATTGTGTTCAAATGGGAAAAAAGTTCTTGTTTTTTACCCAGACATTTAAAAAGAACAGATTTTAGAGCATTGAGCAGAATACCATGAAACAGTAAAACTGTGCTATTTATATCCAAGGTTATTACACCGTCAGAATCTTATACCGGCCCATGCCTACAAGTAAGTTGATTTATTTAAGTATGGTAAAAAAAAATGATTTCTCTCTCTCTCTGGTCTATTTCTGTGTTTCTACAACAACACTTTTCCTCTGAGAGTGTCTGTCCTCTAGGATCTGCTGCTCTTTCTGCTCTGCTCTGTGCTTTTCTGTTTGTCTATTGGTCAGACTGTTTTGTGCTTCCAATGTAATAGTGGCTTCATCATAGTTGCTCAAGTTAGTTCATAGCCTTTAACTTGATCTGACTCTCATTCATTCATTCATTCATTCATTCATTCATTCATTTTCTTTTCAGCTCAGTCCCTTTATGAATTTGGGGTCACCACAGCAGAATGAACCACCAACTTATTCAGGATATGTTCTATGCAGCAGATGCCCTTCCAGCTGCAACCCATCACTGGGAAACATCCATACATACTCATTCACACACATATGGACAATTTAGCTTAGCTAATTCACCTGTACTGCTGTAACCCATGCAAACACGGGGAGAACATGCAAGAAATGCCAATTGGACCATATGGCTTGAACCAGCTACCTTCTTACTGTGAGGTGAACGTGCTACCCACTACGCCACTGTGCAGCCCTTGATCTGACTCTGCACAATTATAAAATATAGAAACAATTATTATTACTATTATTATTATTATTGACTTAATATAAAGGATGATATATATATATATTACATTATTTTAGTTACTGATCTTTTCTCGTTGAATTTCTGATCTCATATCACCACCTTCTGGCCAATATCTAGAACTACATGTTGATTGTGAATAGGTTTGATGCTTTTTTTTTTTACATCTGAATGAATGAATCTTAGCTTGGTGTTTCTATACGTTCGTTGATGGACTTTTATTACAACTGTATGAAATAAATCCTTCATTTTAAAGCCAATAAGCTGTTTTACTCAGTATTAAAGTGCTAAACTAAAAATAATTCAATAATAAATAAATAAATGTCTCTGTCAATTTTTTCAAACTACTGTATTTAATTTACCAAAGTCACACAAGTGGCAATTGTACATCTGTCACATCCATTATGGAGACATGTCACATCCAAAACGACACTTTTTCCTCATGAATGAAAAAAAATAATTGTAGAATAAAATAAAATCAATCACATTTGAGGAGTCCGCTACAAATGAAAGAAGCCCTGTGTTATACAATATTGTTTGAGTCAAATTATTTTAAATACTCTAATACTGAAGTATTAGTGTAATATTAGTAACTAAAATGAATGAAAATAAATTGTTTGTGTGCAGACGGACTCCAAATATGATTATCCACTAATGAGGGTCAAACAAATGTAACAATAACTCAAATTACTAAACACTGTTTTTTTATTTAAATTTTAGTCATATGCTGTTACAAATTAATCAAGAGAGGATTACCCATAGACTATATAAATATTAAATGTATATGCATCTCACTTTTCACTCGTCGGCGGTTGTGAGGAACAGTCGTCAGGTGGCGCTCTTCAGTCAATACCACGGTTGCGCTTTTGTTTTTGTTTTTTGGTACGTCACTTCCGGATGTATGATGGCTTGACAGCTGCGGCTAAATACAGGAAACCCTGCTCATTCGGTAAGATTTTAGATTTATCTTGAACATTATTCTGTATAAGTTTGATATGAAATAATATATTTTGTCTGTATTTATACACTGTCGCCAGCTGGCTTACTGTATGACTGTATGATTGATTCATTCTGTATGAATCAGATTGACGTGAGAAGCTGTCAGTCAGATACCGCTTGACATTTAGGATAATAATAGATTGATTAAATGCACGTTTTACTTACACAAAGATAAACAATGCTGCTTAAAGTTTTGTGGTGTTTAATGTTTTTCTTTATATATAAACTATGAAGCAAATACATGATATGTGGAGAACAGGGTGTAGTTCACGCAAAAATCTAACTGGCCCCTCTAATTGGTTTTAAACCTTTATGAGTTTCTTTCTTCTGTCGAACATAAAGAAGATACTTTGATGAATGATGGATGCTGGGACCCATCTACTTACAAAGGCAAAGCAATTGCTATTGAAGTCAAAGGGTGCCAGGTATCAGCTAGACATGGCGTCACCTTATAAGGTTCTATTTGACATTTTTGTCAAAACTGAGTTATTGACATATTCTTACTAAATGACAACTTATTTACATTATGCGATGTTTTTTTATAAGTTGTTTACATTTTAAGATTTTTTATTTAAAAAACAAATGTTACACACATACTGTTTGCTATGCAATGCAAAAACTTTGAAGCTCAATATTTTAAAATCATTCAGAATGCAGATAAAACCTTATTATTCTAAGGTGACGATAGGCTGGTTTAAGATTGTGATGTATGATAACCTTGGATGAAAATATCACGGTATTGCTATTACTGCTCTAAAATAAATTCTTTTTAATCGTCTGGATAAACAACAAACTTTTTTCTACCTTTGAACACAATATATTTTATTTTGACAAACTTTTAAAAATATTTTGTAACAATAAACATGTCAGGCTAAATAATTTAAATCAATCTTTGACTTCCTCCCTCTTGATTAGCTTCAAAAACACTGATTTATTTATAATTTAAAAATGGCATTTTAGGATATCTTCTGCTGGAGATACTTATGTCCTAAAAACATAAAAACAAACAAACCTACATAAACCATTGGAACGGTATAGCAAAAAAAAAAAATTTAAAACCTTGATTTTTCCAAACCGTGGTATACCTTGAATACGGTTATCAACCCATACGTATTACCAGCATTCTTCAAAACATCTACTTTTGTGCTCAGCAGAAGAAAGAAACCCAAACAGGGTTTAAACAAGTGAAGGGGGAGTAAATGTTGACAATAAAAAAAAAATTAAGTGTACTTAAAGACCAATGAAAATTTCTCAGTTTCTCTGGATGTACTGAATTTACAAATTGTTTAAAATATTAATATAAAATATTGTTTTCTTATAACATTTATTCCAAATTTAAAATCTGAGTATTGTCATTTTAGAGCCCACCCCACCATTGTTGTGAACATTTTCCATTGTTGTGATTAACAACCTAGGTTATTAATATTGGTTTCTTATATTTGGTAATATTTTGGTAATATTCGGTAATATTGGTTTCTTAACTGGCCTAAAATTGAAATTGAAGAAAAAAAGAAAAGAAATTGAAAACACGGAGCAATCGCTCGCTTTTTTTAATGCTTAATAGTAATAATTCTGTTTAATCCCGCCCCTTTTCGCATCGCCATACGACAGAATTTTGCACACACAAACTCTAGTGTGACTGCAGCTTGAGCCCAAGGAAAATGAATGAATGCTCGTAATGCATTATGATTTATGCAAACTCACTGCATAGAAAATAATTTTCTGTGTACCTGAGTACCATTTGGAGTCCCATATGAGATTATTTTCACCATTGTATTGTAAAATGTTACTCTACCATGATGCCTGTTTGACAACAATGCAGAAAGTTATACAAGATCATCGCAGGATATCAGCAGTATTATTGGCTGGATTGCCTGTCAATCAAACTACCTGCAAAGGGTTAATTGCATCATCAAAGCAATAAAATAATAAATAAAAGAAAAACACTTGATCAATCAGTCGATCTAAATTAATGAAATCTTTCCAAATAGAAGTATTCGATTCATCTGGTGAAACTATATTCGTGTCACAAAACAGTGGGGGAAATAAGTATTCCACACATCACCTTTTCTTTTCAGAAAACATATTACTAAAGGCGCTGTTGACTTAAAATATTTCCCAGATGTTTAAAACAATCAAAAAAATCTAAGTATGCAAAGACAACAAATCTAATTATTTTACAAATAAAGTTATGTGTAATAAAAAAAATGAAGCAGGGAAAAAATATTAAACACATGAAGATAGAGAGGTGCAGAATGACAATAAAAGCCCAGACAGCAGCTGAAATCTCTCAGTAGTTCTTCAGCAACCCCCTTTTCTTCGCCATTGTAAATTAATATCAGCTGCTTCAGTCCAACATCTACATTAGCAGGATGATAAAAAGGAAACCATAGCGGAAATTTCAGCAAAACAATGATTCAAAACACAGCTAAGAAAAGAGAAAGAAAATCAAGCTGTAGAATGGCCCAGCCAATCACCTGACTTGAACCCAATAAAAAATACAAATTAAAGATCAGATTTGAAAGATGGGACTCACATAACCATTAAGATTTTTACACAGTGTTGAAGTCTCTGAAGAACTCACACCTTAGCAATTCATGTGACTTCATTCTCCATATGAGAGGCGTCTTTAAGCTGCCATCATCAAAAAAAGCTTTTTATATGAAGTATTTCAGTAGTTCAACACTTCTCCTTGTGTCATTCCATTGTTATTACACATCACTTATTTTTCAGATGTGTTTTATTTTATTCTATTTTAATATTTGTATTGTTTGAGTTTTTACCAAAATCAGGATCAATCTCATGTCAACAGCTCCTTTAGAAACATTATTCCTAGATAAAAACATGTCATGTTCAATAGAGAATTCCTAATGTGGCAGCAAAACTAAAAATGAGCAATGTCACATTTTTTCCCAATATCATGCATAGCTAATGTTCAGCCACTGTGTTCTCTGATTTGGACAGGCGATGGGAGCAGACAGCGGTCCAGGGGCTCCTTCGGCCGTCCCGTGGAGGAAAGTGCTCTATGAACGGCAGCCTTTCCCAGACAACTATGTGGACCGGCGTTTCCTGGAGGAGCTGCGGCGGAACATCCGCGTCCGCCAGTACCGCTACTGGGCTGTGGTTCGCGAGACAGGCCTTATCGCCCAGCAGGTGTCCTGCGTGGCCCTCTTTCTCACACTGTGGTCCTACATGGAGCAGGGTGAGCTGGAGCCGTCTGCCGTGTTATGCGTCTGCCTAGGCTGCGCTCTGTTTGGATACGGGCTCTATGAGGTCCTGGGAGGAGCCAGTGATGGCAAACGGACGCGTCTTGCGGACCTGCAGAGCGCTGCTGTCTTCCTAGCATTTACTTTTGGGTTTTCACCAGTTTTAAAGACTCTGACCGAGTCGGTCAGCACTGATACCGTGTACGCCATGTCGGCAGTTATGCTCCTGGCTCATCTGGTGTCTTTCCCGTATGCTCAGCCCAGTCCGCCGGGAAGTCTTTCTCTAAATGCAGCTCTGTTCGGGTCGGTGTGTCTAGCATCCCGTCTGCCCGGAGCCCTGCACACCTTCACCATGCTGACCTGCGCGCTGCTGGTGTTCGCGCTCTGGCCCTGCCTGCTGCACCGGGTGCGGGAGAAGGCGGACTGGAGCTTCCCCTGGGCGGCGCTGCTGGTGTGTTTGGCCGGCGTCAGGGGTTTGGGAAGCCTTTGGCCCGAGGGAGCTCTTCTTCTCTCAGTGGCTCTGTTAATGTTGACTCTACTCTGTCCACTGCTGCTGGTTCATCTGCAGAGGCACAAGGACAACATTCACGGCCCCTGGGATGAGGCTGAGATCAGAGAGGATCTGTCCCGCTTCCTCAATTAAAACAGGGCTTCAAGACTTTGAGAGTCTTTTCTTAAAAGGACGGATCGCTAAAAGTGAATATTAATTCAACATTTATTCGTTGTATGAGACTTTTTTTTCTTAATGTGGAACTTAAGAGAAGATATTTTGAGAAATGTTGAAGACTATATTTTTTAATTATCTACTAATGTATTACACTGAAGAAACTCATACAGGTTGGGAACAACATGAGGGAGAGTAAATGATGACAGAAGTTTTATTTTTGGGTAAACTGTAACCTTTTAAGCACAATGTTTGTTGGGAATTGCCATTAAAAACTAAATAATACATATGAGAATCTCATAAAAACATGCTCAGGTCATATTTCTCTCTAAATTGGAAGAGAGCAAGCATAAAAAAATTCTAATCATTTTAAATTTTGGGATTAAGACTTTTTTACGATTAAACATCCAATTGATCTTAAATAAATGAATTGATCTTTTTTTTCTTCTACTTTTGTTGGCTTTATGATCTCAACATGGTTTATGATGTTCCCCCAATTTTAAGAGTGTGGAGTTTTTCTTAACAGTATTTATATAACTGTGTAAATACTTCAGAATTTCTGGTGTTTTTCTAAGATGTTTTTAAAAAATGCTGTTATTCTAACAAGCTCAATGTATTGGAAATAAATGTTTTTAACCATACATATTTGTCTGTCAGCAGAGTGTCTATTAATTCTTGTTACGAAACCTTTTGATTTATTTTAATTTACAGTAGGTGATAGAAAATACATCAGGTTTTTGAATTTGTTGTGGACATGCTGTTTGTCCACCAGAGGTCAGTCTAATATCAGTCCCAGGTATTTCTGCAGGGTTTCATGTTTGTGTAAAGCCACATTTCTACAAGAAATGTCTGCCAGTGTTTTGATCTGATGTTTTTTTTTCTTTTAGGAATTTACAAATGAATCATTGAAGGCTACTAACAACATGTCTGTATGACTATAATAAAGCTGCCAAATGAAAGCATTTACTGCTAAATCTATGGGAACTTGTAAAATGTGCAAAGTCATTGTAAATTATTATAGTCATTTAAACTGACAAGATGAAAATGTCTGTTTCGTGAAGAAAACAAGAGTGGTGCTTGAAACACTGTAAGGGTGTTGAGGGTGATTCCTTCACAAGCTGCATGATTTGAGATGTAAATCACACCCATAGCACAAATACAGTGTTGCTTGTTCAAAATACTATTTCAAATGAGCTGAATCGACACAATTATTGAGGTTTTTTTTATGGGGACAACTTAGTTGTTTTATGTTCAATCCACAGTTAGGTTAACTTAATATATTTGTGTTGGGACAACATGAAGGAATGGTTTGGAAACCAGCATTTTTACACTGTAGTTTGAAAATGACCATTTTTAAAATGCTTCTTTTAGGTTATTTTAATTAGTCTAAGAAGTCTCCTACAATTTATTTAGATGATCTATAAATTGAGTTTTTCTAAAAGTCTACCTTCTGAAAGTCTTATGTGCTCTTGTTAATCAGACCCAGTCTGTTGTGATGTGTTTACCACATAACATCCTTTCATTTAGTGTTGCCAGATTTTCATAACAAAACTATCACAATGTCTTTTTAACGCTATATATTATTAATTATAAAGATTCTCTTTTTTTATAAATAAAATCATCATACCTAAACACTGACTGCATACTTGGTATTCAAAAGCTGACTTAAAGTCAATAAAAGTGAATATTATGTGCCATTTAAAACCCTTTTTAAATTCATTTTTTTTACTTGGCTATTGTAAATTTGAAATCTAACACAACTGATATACAGTGCTCACTGCTCAGCATAACTGAGTACAGCCCGTTTTGAAAATGAATATTTTGATCTATTTCTCAGTGAATATAGGCAATGCATTTTTGGTGTATTTAAACAAAACAGATTTATTAAACAGAAAAATGTATTAAAATAATATTTTAGTCACCAAACATATTTAGAAATTGAAAGATAATACAGTTAAATGCAAGCAAAATATTTCAAAAGTCAATTACAACCTACAAACTTTCAGCTAAATTTTTTAATGTTCTTGATTTTTTTTAAATGTGTATTTAATATTTCTCTATAACATAAATTTGGAAATTAAAATTATTTCACTTTTAAGACAATTAAAGAAAGTTAGTCTTATAGTCTAGTCTTATAAAATGTAATTATTGAGCCTGCACACAGGAGGCTGCGAAAAATACTCATTTTAGAAGAAAATTTGCATCTGAACTTCTTATATACTAAACCTTTTCATAAAAAATATGACGTGTGATTATTCAACATGATCTCACAGCAATTTAAAACTTTTTGATTTAGTGGCTAATTTGTATGAATTTTGTACAATCTTATTGAAACAATTTAGTATGATTTACTTATCCCCCAATGATGGTTGGGTTTAGGGGCGTGGTTGGGTGCCACGCCTCCTTTTTAAAACGTCTAGTTTACATTTTCTGGCAATCAAATAAAAGATGGAACGCATGTTTTATGTTTTCAGAGAAAATATTTTTTTGTAAATCATAAATAATAAATAAATTATGCTTGTTTGTCTGAATTATGCTGAATCACACATTACTCATTTTTGATTTCAGCAAAAACTATTTACTATGGTTAATTAAATCGCCGACACTGAATGCTTGGAATGAAACGTAAACATGTAAATTCACTTACCCTTCCGAACAGATGTTGTTTGCTGTCCGAATGCTGTTGTTTTGCTTGTTGATGATTACCCAGGCCTTGTACAGTTCAGTTTTCTTTCCTTTTTAGCGCTACAAAGTTTTGAATCTGGTAATCATGATGCATTATTTCTTGCACATGACCACACAGAACACAATTGTAGGCATCCAAAGACTTGTAGGCCTTTAACTTCTCTCTTGTAAAATGACTTAGAGTTTTACTGGGATAGTTGTAGGCTGGATGCTTGGTCATTTCATCTTATCCAATATTCATTAGGAGGGTGCTATCACAAATGGACCTGTCAGATGAACGCTGCTCACTTTACCGTTAATTTTGCCGAATAACTGTGCTTATCACTGGTTGACAAGGCGTTATAACACACTGAAAGCATTAAGTAAATAATATAAATAATATGTAATCAATATAACTTATCTCTAATACAACAAAAAACTCTATACTGCATTGGATGTCATTCCCTCACTTTGTTTTTTTCATTTATTGTGAATTTTTTATTTCAGGTAATGAAAATGTTGTTTGACCAATAGTTTTAGTCTTGTGCTGCATCCCAATTTGCAAACTATTCGTCCTAAATGGTATTTGAAAATAGAATTAGTATGTCCCAAAGCATAGTATGTTGAAAACAGTATGCTAAAGGTACCTGTATTGTTTACTATTTCCATTAGATTTTAAGTGTGGAACCCACCGCACTCTAATTGCTGAAATTGCCCACAGTACTTGCACGTTGGACGTAAATTTGAAACTACGAACATGGCGGATGTGCGAGACCAACCATCGAGGCTTCAGTAAAGATTATTATATTACTGTTTATCAATATCTAGCCAACAAGACATATTTAAACCGTGTTTTCCATATTATATTTAATCTGCAACAACAATGTGAACTTGAACCTGAAGATATGTTTGCACATTAACTTGAGCAGACTTCTCTGCATGAAAGACTCCTCCTGCCACTGCTGCTTCTCCATTAAGATAGGAAATTAAATATGAAAGAAGTGTGGATGATTTACAGGGCACGTAACTAAGCAACACAATGATCTGTTAACAGGTAAGAAGTATGTGCTGAAGCTTGCATACTCTTCTGCTACTCACTCAAAAGTGTATACTTTTCTTTAAAAAAAGTACATAATTTTAAGGCGTAGTATAAGTATGTGAATTGGGATGCAGCACATGTTTTAGTTTTAATATACTAAGACATCCTTGCTACCAGAGTCATTGGATATGCGACACGAAACACCACTATATTTAAATAGTCAGCAGCATTTGTTTATGGGTTGGTTCAAATCAAGTTGATCAATGGCTTACTTGATTAAACACCACTGAGACAAATGACTTTTTGAGCACAGATTATTTACAAAATCCAAAAAAAGCATTTTATTCAATGCTGTTAAGGAAACTCAATGAAACTCACTCGCATTGCAGACATCAATGTATATGTACAGAACATGAACAAACCTCTCCAGCAAGACAATGAGTGAGCATCTGGAGATCAGGTTTGCTAAACCCAAATCGTTTTTGTCTTCTGTGAATCTTGAAGCAGATCTTGTAACTGTTGCTTTTTGTCTCCCAGGTGGGCATTTGTGTGTCAATGTGTGTGTTGAGTGGGCACTGCCGGCGGTTGTCTCCTGTAACACATTAGACAAAAGCAGATCCGTCAGATCAGGCTCCCACAGGTCACAGCTCACAGTTCTGCCAAATCAGCTAATGGAAATAACAACAGTCTCCCATAAACTGCTTGCTTCCTCAGATGGCTGCATGTGTTTAGGATGGCCTGCCAGTGTGTTTTGCTCCGGGAAAATGAAAGCAAAATGAACGCAAATAGCCAGAGCACATCAACAAGACTGAAAAGAGCACAACATTTAAATTTTTTCTTTAGATGTGCAACTAATGAATACCAAACCCAAATGATTTTTGTGATTGATACACAAAAATCTACATCACATAAAGTTGATGTAGATAAAATATCCAGACCCCCCCCACCCCCCTTAAAAAAAAAAAGAAAAAAGAAAAAAACAGACAAGAGTGTTTCAGGGGTAATTAAAATTCCCAGTGCTCTTTGGATAAGTAGACAAACAACAATCTGTCCAAGGTACTTGGAAAACTTGTGATAAAGTTAAAAAAGCCTTTGACATGACTATTTTGAGCCTTTACTGACATGGCTATTATTTAAAAAAAAAAAAGGATTCATGCACACCTATGCATTTCGACAAACTTGCCTTCATAAGGGTGACAAAATTCAATTGTGTCTTTAGTTCATTTGAACATGACAAGATACAGTACTGTAAATTTATAATTTACAGCTAATACAAACAATAAATCAAGTGATTCACAGTACAGTTAAAGGACAAAAAATAATATTACTATTATGATCAGATGGTGCAACAAAGGTAGATCTGTTAATCCTGAAGGGGTTAATCCTGAAGGGCAAGTGTTTCTAAACACTCAGGTCACATGACTAAAGTGAATCGAAACACCAAGTCACATGACTAAAGTGATTCAAAACACCAGGTTATGTGATTAAAGTGATTCAAAACAAAAGGTCATGTGACCAAAGTGATTCGAAACACCAGGTTATGTGATTAAAGTGATTTGAAACACCAGGTCACATGACTAAAGTGATTGGAAACACCAGGTTACGCGAATAAAGTGATTCGAATCACCAGGTCACATGACTAAAGTAATTCGACTGTTTCAGTGTTTCACGAATCCTCTTTTGCCCACCACTACCAAATGCAGCTTTATTTTTAAAATCATCATTCGGACAAACGCATGGCAACAGACAGGCGAATGGTTGAGACAGGCAGCAAAACAAACGAGAGTTAAAAACAATAAAGGCAATCCAAGAAAACACTTACGTGATGCAGACTACATTATAACAAGACACAGCACAGATATCAGTGTGTGTGGTGTATTGATAGTCCATGTATCAGTCCTGATCAGCTTCAGCTGTGTGTGTAATCAAGGGATGATCTG